TGCTCCATGTAAATCTGCTCCTCCAAATCACCATGCAAGAAAGCAGTTTTAACATCCATCTGCTCCAAATGCAAATCCCAAATAGCTACTAATGCAAGTACTGCCCTGATTGAAGTATGTCTGACCACAGGAGAAAAGATTTCATTATAATCTATCATCTTCTGCTGTGAAAATCCCTTTGCAACCAGTCGAGCCTTGAACTTTTCCCCTTTTTCTAATACTGCTGGTTTCCTTTTGAAGACCCATTTGCATCCAATGACATTCTTTCCCTCTAGAAGCTGAACTAGCTCCCAAGTGCGGTTTTTCTGCAAAGACTCCATCTCCTCAACCATTGCACCCATCCATTTCTCTTTCTCATGGCTAGTGATAGCTCCTTGAAAAGTGGCTGGATCATCGCTGCTTCTCTCAGAAGCTACTGGCTGTTGTTCAAATCCATCTGCACTGCATCTGAACTGGAACTGTTTCTTGACACCTTGTCTTGATTCTGCTGTAACATAAACTGCTCATCAAAAACTGCATCACTGTTAATCACCATCTTCTTTGCAATTGGATCCCAAAACTTGTATCCTTTTACACCTTTCTTGTAGCCCTGAAAGATGCACTTCTTGGATTTTGCATCAAGTTTGGATCGTTCATCTCCAAGTATATGCACATAAGCATGACATCCAAAAATCCATAAATGATCAAATTTAACTGGATTACATGTCTATGACTCTTCTACGACCTTGCCACCCAATGATGCTCGAGGTGATCTATTAATGAGATAACATACCATATTCGCAGCCTCTGCCCCAAAACTCGTAGGAAGCCCTGCATTCAGTCTCAAGCACCTTGCCCTTTCAGTTAAGGACCTGTTCATCCTTTCTGCCACACCATTCTGCTGTGGTGTCTTCCGCACTGAAAAATGCCTCTGAATCCCATGCTCCTCATAGAACTTCTGAAACTGCGAATCTGTGTACTCTGTGCCATTATCGGACCTCAAATACTTGATCTTTCTGCCAGTTTGGTTCTCCACCTTAGCTTTCAACAGCTTGAATTTAAAGAATACTTCAGATTTATGCTTCAAGAAATACACCCAAACTTTTCTGGAGAAATCATCAATAAAAGGTAACGAAATACTTAGATCCTCCCAATGACAGCTCCCTACTAGGGCCCCATACATCAAAATGCACATAGTCAAGAATTCATTCAGTTTTATGTTTTCCAGTCATAAAACTGACTATAGTCTGTTTTCCAAGAATAAGATCAAGCTTGCAGCTTTTAACTCCATGCAACAGATTTCTTCTATGCAATTCCGCCATCCCACGTTCACTGAGATGACCCAGACGCATATGCCATAGCTTTGTACTGTCATTATCTGACTCCACAGAATGAACTTCACCTACAACTGTACTCCCTAACAGTCTGTAGATATTACCTGCAGTCAACTTTCCTTTCATCACCGTCAGTGCACCCTTAACAATTCTGATGGTTTCCCTATCCTCATCAGCCTTAGGAATAAAACCATTTCTGTGTAGAGTGCCCAAAGAAATCAAATTCTT